CAGCTGTTAATGGAAACAGTATGCAGTTTAAATAGTACTTAATGTTTAGATTTTCAAATAGTTTTAAAATTTACACAAGATTTGAAAGTTTGCCAATGTGGTGATAAGAATTTTTGTTGGACTAAGTGCAAAAATTTTAAATATATCACGAAATTTGAAGGAATAGAAATTTAAAAGATTATTGGTGTTTTCGTGTGGAATTGTTATATTTTCTTCTGATTTTAATTTGCATCTTGGATTTTCAAATATATATTTGGATATTGAATACTATGGGTATGTACAAAAAAATTTAAAGGTTCAAGTGTTGGAAAATATTCAATAACCCAATCAGAATAAATTGCTAAAATGTTACTTTATTTGGAAATTGAACATTTATGATTAAGGGACTGTTGGAACTTTTGATATAAATTGAAAAGTACATGTTGATATTTTACATCTCTTGAAACTTGTTGAAATGAAATAAACATGATACAAGTATACAACTCTTGAAACTTGTTGAAATGTAATAAACATGATACAAGTATACTACTCTTGAAACTTGTTGAAATGAAATGAACATGATACAAGTATACTACTCTTGAAACTTGTTGAAATGTAATAAACATGATACAAGTATACTACTCTTGAAACTTGTTGAAATGAAATGAACATGATACAAGTATACTACTCTTGAAACTTGTTGAAATGAAATAAACATGATACAAGTATACTACTCTTGAAACTTGTTGAAATGAAATAAACATGATACAAGTATACTACTCTTGAAACTTGTTGAAATGAAATGAACATGATACAAGTATACTACTCTTGAAACTTGTTGAAATGAAATAAACATGATACAAGTATACTACTCTTGAAACTTATTGAAATGAAATAAACATGATACAAGTATACTACTCTTGAAACTTGTTGAAATGAAATAAACATGATACAAGTATACTACTCTTGAAACTTGTTGAAATGTAATAAACATGATACAAGTATACTACTCTTGAAACTTGTTGAAATGAAATGAACATGATACAAGTATACTACTCTTGAAACTTGTTGAAATGTAATAAACATGATACAAGTATACTACTCTTGAAACTTATTGAAATGAAATGAACATGATACAAGTATACTACTCTTGAAACTTGTTGAAATGTAATAAACATGATACAAGTATACTACTCTTGAAACTTGTTGAAATGTAATAAACATGATACAAGTATACTACTCTTGAAACTTGTTGAAATGAAATAAACATGATACAAGTATACTACTCTTGAAACTTGTTGAAATGTAATAAACATGATACAAGTATACTACTCTTGAAACTTGTTGAAATGAAATAAACATGATACAAGTATACTACTCTTGAAACTTGTTGAAATGAAATAAACATGATACAAGTATACTACTCTTGAAACTTGTTGAAATGTAATAAACATGATACAAGTATACTACTCTTGAAA